GTCGATTCCAAAACTGAGAAATGTAATATTATTAATATTTTTTTGCTGGGAAAAAGTTGTTTTGGGAGAAAAGTTGTACTAATAAAATCTTTATGGTTACATTATGTACAATACATAACTGTGGTCCAAGAGTTTATTAGAGCAGAGAGAACAAGTAACTGTTATTAGCAAGGTCTTTGAGTCTTTGATCAACAAATTCCTCACATCTCATCTTGAGTCAAATAAACAATCAATACGGTTTTCGATCCTCTTGCTCTACGGCCAACTTGCTAACTGCTGTAACTGAAAGATTTTATAGTGCATTAGATGGAGGCGGTGACGCTAGGGCTATTGCTCTTGACATATCTAAAGCTTTCGACAAAGTTTGGCATGCTGGTCTTCTCCATAAGCTTGCTTCATATGGTGTTTCTGGGAAAGTTTTTGAGATTATCAAATCATTTCTTTCTAACCGGTTTATTAAAGTCATCCTTGAAGGCCAACGCTCTTTTTTATTTCCAGTAACTTCTGGGGTTCCCCAAGGTTCCATCCTGGGCTCTGTTTTGTTTCTTATCTACATAAACGATCTTCCTGACAACCTTTCATCTAAAGTAGCTCTTTTTGCTGATGACTCAACTTTATACTCCTGTCTTGACAAAAAGTCTTCTCTTTTCGATTGCCTCGAACAAGCAGCTGATCTTGAATCTGATCTCACTTCAGTAATAGATTGGGGTTCACGGTGGCTTGTGAATTTCAACTCTAAAAAAACCCAATTGCTTACTGCAAAAAACTACCGTAATATGGTCAACATTCCTATATTAATGAATGGCAATCCTCTTACTGAGTCGTCCTCTCTACGTCTTCTTGGATTATCGCTTACTACTGACCTTTCATGGAAACCATATATACAATCGATTGCTAAATTAGCTTCTGCTAAGGTTGCTTCTCTTTATCGTGCTCGCCATTTCCTTACTTCTGATTCCATTCTCTACCTCTACAAATCTCTTATTCGTCCCTGTATGGAATACTGTTGTCATATTTGGGCTGGTTCTTCTAACGATTCACTTTCTCTTCTTGACAAGGTCCAAAAACGCATTGTAAATGTTGTTGGACCTGGACTATCTGCTAAGCTTGAACCTCTTTCCCATCGTCGTAAAGTTGCATCTCTTTCTCTTTTCTACAGATACTATCATGGTCACTGCTCAAAGGAGTTATCATCTCTAGTTTCATCAACTAAAATTCATTCTCGTTTTACTTGTTATTCAGCTAAGTCTCATTCGTTTACTGTATCTGTCCCTGCATGCTCTAAAAACTTTTATTCATCTAGTTTTTTTCCCCGCACTTCAATCCTTTGGAACTCTCTCCCATCTTCATGTTTTCCTGACTCATACAACCTTCAACTTTTCAAGTCTTCTGTCAACCGTTTCCTTGCTCTATAACTCTGTTATTTTTTTTTCCTAGTAACTCCCAACTTAATAGTGGTTGCTTGCAGCCTTGTTGGGAGTGAATGCAAATAAATAAAAAAAAAAAAAAAAAACTGGTCATTTCATATTTCTGAAACAAAGTGCATGCTCAATTTTTTTGCTGCAACAGGGCACAATAGCTATGCAAAATTGTGCAGGCTTTACCTTCAGACTGTTGATGCCTTACAAACAGAACACCTTCTAATTTACGCTCATTACAATGCAGGTAATCACAGTGTTAAAAGAACCAAAAAAAATTATAAGAGATACAGGCTGATCTAGCAATTGAGCAGGCTCTGATAAAGTCACTGAAAGGTAGAGGTAGAGTTATTGGTAAAGGTTTGACTGAAAATGTGTTGAGGGTGTGGGCGAAAACATTGCATCGATGCGCAGAAGTAAGTGATATGATGAGCACTCTAACATCTCCACATAAATCTGTTAGCAAACATAAAGAAATGTATCTTAGAAGAATGAAATGTGATAGTGGCGACTTTAAAAAAATACAATCATGGTTTCTTGCTCATAAGCCATTCATGGTCGGAGATCAACTTGTTAGTTTGGTTTGGTTGGTAATCAGAAAAATATTACCTATGATCGATTAGAACAGATAGGACCATCAATACACAAAAATCTGAATGGTAACACCTACACAAATTGCTCTTTCGAACAAAAAATTCAAATAACAACACTACAGAATTTATACTCCTGCGTACCTATTCTAGACGAAATTGTTACAATCAATCCAATATCACTTTTTCTAAAATTGGTTGTTGATAGAAAGCCAGAGAATTAAATAGAATTTAAGAATTATTTTCAATATGAGTTATCACCATATCCAACATTGTTGTTTAAAGGAGGTGTCATAAAATCAGCACTAAAGTCAACATTGAAAACATTCATACTCATAATATATCACCAGTAAAAGAACCTGTATCAATCAAGATTGCTGATGGAGGCGCATTATTGTGGTGCTGCAATTGGAAAAAATAAGTTATTTAGTGAAATTTTTCAAAAACACATTGATATTTCTCTACACTTACAACTTGAAATAATTGTTTTTTATTGTTATCAGCCGTCCATTAAAGATAGTATCACCCAAAAGCGATCCGGTAAGATATCACAAACAGTTGAAATCAATGATCTCAATCGATGCCCAGCAGAAAGAAGTATTTTTCTAAGTAACTACAAAAACAAAAATGATTTTGTCAGGCTTTTAGCATTTAAGTTACAAAACAATGGTTTTAAAGTTATTTGTTGCCCCAGTGTTACATACACAAGTATTGTTAAGCTAGCGCTTGAAATTGACAACGTTGAGTCAGTCGCAATTTATTCGAATGGCTCTGATATTTTATGTCTATTGATACACCATGCACATACTGGAGCGCAACCTCAAGGCATCTTTTTAAAAACGTTGACACAAAATAAGGCTACAGATTAAAGAGTATGTTATAAAATTCAGAATGTTGTAAATACAAGTGGTGATACTCTTAAATTATTTATGTATTATATGCACACGCATTCACTGGGTGTGACACAACATCAGCAATCCATAACTTCGGCAAAACCATAATTTTTACGATGTTGAAAAAATCAAATGAATTGAAATCTACTGCAGATTTATTTTATCAGGAAAACATTTCTACTGATGATATTGGCAAGGGAGCTATTCGTTTTTTTGAGCTGCTTCATTCATCTTGTTTCAATCTACAGCAGATCAGGAAACATAAATAAAGTGTTGATCCTGCTCTATTACCACCATTACCAAGAACTGCATACTATCATGGTCTCAGAGTTACTGGGACTTACTCTTCATCTTCTAGCATAGAAGAACTTACTCTACAACTTTCAGCATGGAAGAACTTACTCTACATCTTCCAGCATAGAAGAACTTACTCTACATCTTCCGGCATCATCTGTTCTTATTTTATCAGCAAGGATATCATTTTTAAAGTTCTTAGTGGAGATGTCAAATTGCTGATAGTGTTCTGTGAGGAAATCTTTCTGTAACTTTGACTGCTTATCAAGACTGCTGCCCAGTTCAAATAAGACAATTTCATTAATTTCTAGTAGTTAAAATTAATTCTGATGATTTTGGTCTTAATGCTGTACCCTGAAATCGAAATTTCCTTTCCCAATCCCAGCATTATCCCAAATTTTTTAAATCCTAGATACCAAGCAAGAGATTTTAGGATCTGTACAGAAATCGTTTTCTCAAACAAGATTTTTAGAATTTGATTTCAACTTGGAATCAGCATTAATAGAAATGGGTTTGTACTTATTCTGTGGCTCGCGAAGGATAAATTAATAGTATTTCAAAATATCACCATTAGATGGAAGCTGTCTGAAGTTTTCTTAGCGGTTACTTCAATAGGTAAATATACCTCAACTTTTTGTGTGTTTTTTTCTTCTTCTGTCCCATTATCATCTATTTTTTAGCTGTTTTACCCATTTTCTATACAAAGTATCAAATAATTAGTTTTTTTTACTAGATTTATTAATAAATGTTAGACATCAATATTCTATAAAGTCTCAATCTATTTGCTATTCCCTCTTATATCACATTTTTATGTATAGCGCTACGGCTTTTGTAAGCGTTTACACAAGAGTTCCTTCGTGCTGAACATATATCTAAATGGAATTATTTATGTACCAATGATAAATAATGTGCATAGTGAATTATACCAACATTTAATTCTAGAGGGAATTATACCAATCGTTAAAAATGTTCATAGAAATAATGCCAATTGTTAATAATATCCGAAGGAATTATTTATGTACCAATTATTACATCATGTTAAAACATTGTACTAATACATGTAAAACATTGTTTTTAATACATGCATACCAGATAGTGTTGTTTGTAAGTGCGCAAAACAATAAAACTCAGAAATTAAAAACATTTAACACTTCTAGTCATTATAAAACTTAAAAAAAGATAATGGGGTTTTTTTAAGGCCTATAGAATGGGAATCTGTAGAGAACGCATTGAAATTAAAAAAAAAAAAGTGTTTATTTTGGGACACCCTGGGACATCTATCGTTGTCTACCTTTCTAAAACTTGATTTTCTTACACAAAAAAAAGGCATTGAATGGCACAAGTTTTTAAAGTTATGTAACAGAATAATATCTAATTAATTAGTTTTTTTGTTTTGAGTGTTTTAAAAAATGCGTATGCGTAGGGAAAAGGGGTTAATTATAATGATGTGTAAGGGACGGAAAGTGTCAGTTGTAAATATTGTTGCATACGTACGCAGAGCGGCGGTAGGTCTTGAAAAGTCTCTAGGTCCATACAAGATGCTAGGGTGAGTCCTAAATTAGTAGTTTTACTGCATATACACTTTATTGATACCCCTTAATACAAAATAATAAAGAAAGAAGCAGAGCCTTAGTTCGCCAAGAGTTGGGTATTGATAAGAGGGCTTTTTCTCGGGATTACGGTGAAATCGTGTCAACCAAAACATGTAAATCAAAACATATTTTACTAAATTAAAAAAAAAAAAATTACAGGCTGCCGTATCAATTAAGTTTTATCCATTTAAATTTATATTTTTTTAATTTTAGGACAAGCGCTCATACTTCAAACGACAAGAGAAACTGACGAAGCTTAGTTCTTAGATTCCCAAAGAAAATTCGAGTAAAAGTAGTTTAAGACTGTCTAATATAATTAAAAAAAATGTTTTTTTGTAATAATTTATTGCATAATTTATTTTATGAATTTTAAAAGCTATTTAAATTGTTTTTTTTTTTTTTTTTTCTTTTTTTTTTTAAATTAATTTCTCAATCCTTATAGTTGGGATTCTTATTTCATAGTTAGAATCCCGATTAGTCAGAAATTTAAATAAAAAGATAAAGTAAAACCTAACCAAAGTTTATAAATTATGGATCTTTTTAAAAAATTATTTAGGAGGCTTTGAATAGTTCGACTTCGAAGTTTTTCTTTCAAATTTTTGACTCATTCAAATTTTTCTTCAACCAATGTGCAAAACTTTATTAATATTAACCACTCATACCAAACCAGAAATTTTCCTCCAATATTCTTTAACTCTCAAATCAGTTAACACTTACAAATTTATTGATGTTTTAATCAACAGAGTAGTAGTATAGTGAGGGTTTGACGCCACTTTGAGGTTTTCTTTTTATGGTCTCCCTTAAGATTTTTTTTGTAAATCCCCAAATGGGAATCTGTAGAGAACACATTGAAATTTAAAAAAAAAAGTGTTTTTTTTGGGACACCCTGGGACACCTATCGTTGTCTATCTTTCTAAAACTTGATTTTCTTACTTTATTGGACTTCTAAGTTCAGAAAAATTTTTGTAAACCCCTTTGGAGAGCTTTTTGATACCCTCTACTTGATGTTTGCAAAAATCTTTTTCATCGGAAAAAACTTTTTCCCCCTATGGTTAAGTAGTATCAGACGGCCAATCCATGTAGGGACGGTTAACATTTTTTTTATTGATTGTACTCGTTAATTAAATTTTAATATAAAGTTTGAGAGAAGCGACCCCTATTGAACCCAGCAATAGCAACCATAACAAGGAACACAAAAATATCTATTTGTCCAGGACCAGCTATTCGAGAAATAAGTTTTTGGATTTCATTAGCCGTATTATCAAGCTTTAGACTTGATCCGCTTAAATGTTGATCAGAGTAGCTTCTGAAATCGAGTGCTAGAAATTGTTAGGTCCCTAAAAATTGTTAGGTCCCTAAGCAAAAACAGGTGCCACAGTCTAAAAACCATCTTTTATATTTAATATATTTGTTTCAATATTTACATTGCAAGCTGAACCGGCAAGACATATATTAAATTTTTCTACAAAGTGATAAAGTTGCATTTTGTTTAAAGAAAGACTGTCCATTAATAAAAGCATCGATTCTGATGATATTCATTATGTTTGATTTGAATCTGGTTGTCTTGCGAAAGCGGTAGATTGGGGAGCATAAATAAAAACATATTTTAACGAGTTGTATGCATTATTTACATAAAAAGCCATGAAGTTTAGATTGAATATCGTTGCACGCGTTGATGACGAACAATTTGCTCAAAAAGAAAGACCAAAACGTGAAACGCTACCGTAAGCTATTTATTTTGCAAGCTGCTCGTTTTCAAAAGCCTCATACTGCAGAGATCATTTAAAGCATGGTTGGAAGTAGCTGAAGTATCAATTGAAAAAATGACTTGACGGTCAGAGAAAACTATTTCATATTCGAGTTGATCTGAAAACGATAAAGAGTGAAACAGTCCTTGAGTATTAAAAATTTCAAAATCAAGAGGTATGCAGTATTTTGAACCAGCTTGGGTTAACCTTGCCCAAATGCAACAGGTATTGCTGCATTAGCTTCTTAAGAGAGTTAAGTTACCTTGATCATCTTTGTTGTCAATACCTTGCATTATTCTTTCTAGAAGAGCTCGAACTGATGGGGGTAAGAACAAATCTCAAACACTTCAATAATCTCTATAACGAAATGTGCTTTGAATTGCTTGACTTTGCATTCTTATTGTGAGTTTATAGACCAAGATTTGCTACAAGTTTTGCAATGAGGTTTGTAACTTCTAGTACAACATCGTAAAGCAAACGGAATGACCCTGGCACAACTATCATAGATGGTGACCAAGTTGGAAATCGAATTAAAAACGTTTGACCTGATGGATTTGCTAGTGTTGCTGAATTTAGTCCAATAAAGTACTATAAAGAGTCCAATAAAGTACTATAACTAAATTGAAGACTTGAAGCCATTTTCATAGAATTTTCATAGAAATAATGAAAATATGAAATTAATAAAGGATGGGGAACAATGTGATTTAGGGTTGGAAAATAAATATCGTTACAATTGTTTAGAAGATCTTAACAAAGCATATGTAAATGTTAGACTTTTTTCAAGCAAACTTAATAGCCAATTTTATTGAATTCGAGGACTTACTATGTACACTTTATTAAGATAATAGTTAGTTTAAGGACAAAAAGTTAGTTTAAGATGATAGGCTTAGTTTAAGGACAAAAATTGAGTAAAAATTACTTTTCTTTCTTGAGTAAAAATTACTTTTAGTCAGGAAAGATATACAATCCCTGCTGTAATTTTTGCTCTTAGTGCAATTATCAACTATTTTTATAATGAGTATAAGGAAGGGTTTATTTATAAACCTTTTAAAGATATTTCAAGTTAGATTCTCAAAACTAAAGATGTAAAAATGATTGATGCAATTTATTACACACTTGGAGGAGCAAGTCGATGCCCATTGACTGTTACTGACATTGAAAACCCTTTTATTTTCAATAAAGATTTCAGTTTAAAACCAAAGTATAACAGCATCTTTATAATTATAGTTTTAGGCAACCTTGTGTTTCTTAAGAATATACTCCAAGTGAGGATGCCAGTTGTATATTAGGGTGTACCAAAAAAAAATACCTCTCAATGTTTTCCCATTCTCTAAGGTCCAAATAGGCTAAAAAAAGAAAAAAAAAACTACTTTTGCTCTTGTAAAAGTGATAGCTATAAAATTTTATTTTTCAAAAAAAAATGCAGTTTTTACGAAAAAACTATGTATTTTGTTTAACTCTCTTAAAAATATATATTTTCACTTTAAATATTAAACGTTTATGAGTTCATCTTTGTTAGTTCTTTCTTTAGTTTTTTTCTATTGTCTCTGGCAACGAGCACGAGGCTCTGTTTCATGTCATCCGAGCTGTAGCTTCCAACAAAATCCTGGATATTTCTTTCAGCACAGTCATTAACATATTCAATCGATTTCAAAAACCTTTTAAATAGATCAAATGTTTCAGTGGCATCTCCCTTGAGTCACTTCTCCGCCTCTCCGAAAGGAATACCTGCTAACATAAACAAGATCCGACTCTGGAAACCTATCAGCTCAAATAATTTACTTGAACTGTTGATAACTGGCAGCTGTTGATAACTGTTAATAACTGGCTTTGGTTTCCCCATTTGAAACTGCTAGGGTATATCACACTTGACCAACTTTTCCAACATCTTTTTCTTTACCTTCTTGTCAACATCATCGTCAGCTAGGACCATTATAACTAACTGTTCTGTTAAGTACCAAACGTACCGCAGCATGCTGACAAGAAGAGCCTGCCCAAGTTTTGGATAATAGTCCTTTATTTCAAACGATGACTTGAAGGCAGCTAGGTCATTTGAAGGCGACTTGGCAACACATATGATATTAGGAACCAGGTTCGATAGCATATAGAAACAAAGAATTTTGCAGTCTTTACCATCTTCTTCTCTTCCTTATTCATCAACTGGGCTACCTTTTCAGTCATCCTCAGTGTCAGCAGGTAGAGAGTATCTGCCATGAACCTTTAGAAAAAATTATTATTAGTAGTTATATTAAAAAATATTAAAAAATGTACTCTCTTCTAATAATACAAATTATTGATAATATACTTTAACCATACCTGGCTTCGTTGCAGGCTCCAGGTTGATAAAAACAAAACCCCGTACTCCCCCCGTTCTCCTTTATAGAATATTAAGGAGAACGGGGGGACATTATCTAAACATCTTCTCCTTAATAGAATATGCCTAGTGGTCAGTACTTTTTTGCAAAACTCTAAGGCCTCCCTTGCTATGTTGTACAAGAATGATCCAACCTGTAGCTCATTCCAATCAAACCTAATTACCTCTTCCATCTTGTCAATCTCCTCCTTGATGCTTGGCCAGGCTATCTGAAGTCTTAAATATTGTCTCTCCTGGGCCCCTTTGTTTTTTCACCAGTAAGAGCCTCCATGAAATGTGAGATGTGTATCTCAAACATTTGTCGTCTGCAAAGAAACCAGAGAAACGGACTGTTGAGGATATTTGTCAGGGTGGTAATGGCACTAGCAGATATTTTAATGTTGGAAGCAGTAGTGTCACAGCATATGGCAAAGATCAGATCAACAATGCTGTAATATTTTAATAGATTTAAGATTACATATGCGTAATCAACTCCCTTGGAGCTTTGAGCTTGAACTGCTCCAAGTAGGATGTCATTTCTGTCGTCAATATTTGGTAATGTATCACTAACAGAAATCCTCTCAACAGTAACAGTAACATTAAGATTCTCCTTTATCTCTTTTATTTTTTTACTGTCGAAGTGCTGGACAAGACTCTTTTCCTTCAATGTTTCCATTATATCTTGCCTTATCTGGTCTCATAATATTCAAAATAGCTTTATTACCAATTTAATTAAATTTTTATTAACCCTATTATTTATTTCAATTATTTATTTTTACCTAGATCTTCAATCATCTTGAATCTCTTTCGATGAACAGAGCTTTTGGAAATTGCCTGTTTTATTGCATATTGCTGCAATGATTGCGGTTTGAGGTCGGATTCCAACCATATATTGAGCAGATACCACAGAAGGACAGTTCACTAGACCCTCAGGACTTATATTTCTAATCTAGTTAAATGCAGTTAAATTTAGTTTACTCAAATTTTATGCAAATAACTTTAGATTTTATAATAATCTTTTATTTACCTTGACTTTTACTGTAAAACCAAAGTTTTGAAGTAATTCATTGACATTATCTTCATTTGTGAAAACTGCAGCATCTGACTCGGATGCAGATGAGTTGATATCAGAATCATATGAAACCTTATTAGTAACTCTTTTCTTTTTATCTTTTTTCCTCTGTTGTAATCTTCATATTCTTCATTCTCTGCCAACGATCTGGTCTATTTTTAATAGATGTTTCATATTCTTTGTCTATTTATGTAGTTATATACATT